GAATAGGCAGCTGGGAATGGTTCTCTCATAGGCAGCTAGCTGCAGGAACCCTGTGCGGAGCTTTGAATGCCTAGCTCAGTGGTTTGATGTTGATGACTGGCAGCTGGACGGCCTCAATGCTTTTCTGCCGTTCCCTTCCAAGCGGCTACTAGCGTGATGAGTTTTAGGCAGCATTGGTACGCGAAGCCGAATACTTGAGGCTGCCTATGCGTCTGAACAATTATATCTAAGAAAGGCCCCCTGCCTCCTTTATCAACCAACGCACGCCGAATTGTGGCGACCTCATAAGCCGTTGTGGGCTCGAAGCGTACATGCAAGGAGCTTGCCGAGTCCCAACGCGCAGTTGTCTGACCATCGACGTGCCAGCTATGAGTCGTGGCTTGCGGAAGATGAGATTGTCTGTCTTAGAGTTCATTCTTCTCATTGATTTCGGCAGTCAAGCTTACATGGAAGGGCAAATGGTGAGACATGCTCCCTGAAATACCTATGCCTAACCCATTGCCAAGCCACGGGGAACGGCGGCCGGGTTCGTTTCTGGACCTGGACTTTTAATCGAGATGGACGCCAATCCCCGGTGGAAAGGAGAGGGCCGTTTCGAACTAAAAGGGCACATGTGTTGCCTCTCACTGCCTTTTTTGGCATCACGAGACAACGGCAACGGTTGAGCGATAACCCGTTGCTCTGGGAGCGAGACTATCTGATTGATAACTTGACCTGACGATGAGAGTTTGCTCGCCCAGGTGAGCGAAGGACAAGGTAGTCAAATGGGGACAGACTTCTTCAGGTCAGGCATTGGGCTTTGTGTAGGCCTGGATAGAAGTCTCAGCGAGTGCAAACGGGTTATCGACAATGGAGAAGGAGAAGGGCTTCTGTTGACCGGGAATAGGAGAAGACCGACGATGTTCTGTATGATGATGAGGCTCAAAGTTCCCTAGACAGCAGTCGCTCTTATGCCAACCTGCGTCCCAACGTCAAGAGAGGGGGGCGAGGTGAGAGGGCTTCGTCGAATCTGCGATTGCAGAAAAGGAAGAGCACCCGAGGCCAAAGCAATTCTTCGTGACGCTGGTGCGTATACAACAATGTTCCTCGATGCATCCATGGGATTACAGACTTGCGTGCTGCAAGCCGCCGAACACGTGAGGACGGTCACTTATCAAGCAGTCAATGGCGCAGCCAATCGAAAACGTTAGAAGCATTGACGGCCAACTTGGAGCGCTTCCAACCCTGCAACAGTGGCATCGTGTGGTTCAGCCCGTGTGTAAGCTCTTACACGCAAGGGAAAGACTTGGAAGCATTTTTAGGGCACTCACTGGCGGTTCAGTCAAGGGGCTGCAGCCGTGGGGTAGTGGCGTGCTGACCGGATGGCGGGATGCCAGAACTGGTAAACTCGATATGTTCGCAGCCCATGAGTCCTCCGAATGGCGGTGAAGGTGACTCATTGGCCGGTTGGTAATCGTATTCCGGAGGCCGACTGCCGCTCTGACAAGATTGACGGGATAAGGATGGACCGTAAATGGAGCTCGAGCAAAAAGGATCAGCTTCCCTAGCAGTGCCTTTCCGCAATTGGAAGGTCGTCGATTAGTGGACAGTGTAGTGATGGAGGTGCAGGGACATGTCTTGAGGGGACCAGTATAGGTCCGGCGCGAGCAACGCGTTGCGTGATTCGGTGTTCGAAAAGCCGAGAACACGACAGGCTATAGAGGGTTTGAGGGTGCAGGGTTGAGGCCACCCCGTGCTTTATGGATAAGCAGATCAATTGACGCGACTGGAGTGGCTTGCAGGTCATGAGGCTTCAGGGTGGTAATGGTGAATGCGTCCGTCGTGCCTGGCTGGCCTGGATGCTGGGAGTTCATGCCGCTGATGAAGAGCACGTAATTGAGCACGCTGCAAGCCATGCCAATTCCGTTGTTCCAGGCGAAGATAAGTGTGTGTGGAGGGACCAAAGTCCAATACCTAGCAAAATTTTGTGTTGAATGCAGTGTCCACAAGTCTGCAGACGAATCTCAAGTGGGGGGTGAAGCAAAGTACCTATCCTTGAGTTGCCCCCAATACCTAGTCCTTGTGCATGCAAGAGGTCGGAGCCATGGATGCTGTCGTGAAAGGAGAGCACGATAGGAGACAACTGCGTCCTTGCTTGGTCCTGCCCGTTGAGTGGAATACCCGGCGTGAGGTGGCACGACTCGAGCAGCCAACAGCTGGTGTGCGACGCATTGTTGGAGCATTGGGTGTTTGGACAGAGAGCCGCGCAATACACATGCTGTAGGCGGCAGAGACGAAAATTGGCTTCTGACGTTATGGTGGCGCGGAGACGGCGTCTGTTCTTGGATGGGTGGAAGACGTTGAAAACCTTGGGCCTCGTGGCAAGCTGACAGGGCTCCAGTTGAGAAGCTAGCAAAGTCTGTTCCGTTACGGATCAGAGGTGGGATGCTACCGGTCAAGGCATTGTCACTGATGGTTGTCGCTGATCTGGTAGCATCCAATTGCGCTGCCGTGCTCGGCGGTAGGACACTGGTGGACGGACGAAGCATGCCCAAGATAAGGTCCAGACGAGAGGCGTGAGCGCAGGCCGGTCATGCTAAAGTGTCGTCGATGTTGGCGGTGGAGGTGAATGTGCCAGTATGCCAATTGTCCAGTGGTTCACAGTCCAAGTTTGATGTGATGTGTCCCTCCCGATCGAGTGGTCCCAATGAGGACGAGCTTGGCTTGGCTCTGAGACACCCATCATGCTGACCTCATCGGCCGTCGCGGGCGGAAGCCGTCGTTGGCAGAAGCGTCTTTCCTATCTGTTGAGTGTATCCGTGCTTTACCAAGCCCAATTTTTATCAGCCAGGACTTTCGCTGCTGATGACACGGGCGTTGCCCATGCCGCCGTTTCCTGCAACAACAAACACTGTCAAGTGGATAATTGAAGACAGGCACCTGCTTGCGAGAGGGCCTGGCTGCCTGGAGTAGCATCGAAAGCTCAAGGATGCGTCGCTGAAGAGCGGGTGTGGGCGGCAGTGGATGTTGTACGACGTTCAATCCGTCGCAACGGACGACGGATGAGAAGATGAAGATGTGCGCGAGTGGACGGAACAGAAACGAGCTTCTGGCGACGAACTCTCGGCGGCAGGTGTGCGCGTGCATGAAGTAGGTTATGGTCAGGAACTCGTGATGCCTTCCTTCCCAATGATTTGCACCTGCCACCTACCTTACTACCTTACTTAGGTACTACCTGCATCTGCTGCAACTGCAAGTACGGCTTGCGCTCTTTGCTCTTGGACTTGCCCCGTCTGGCCTCGCGCTTCAGGACGCAGGTACGTACCGTTTCCAAGCACAGGGGAGTGAAATTTCCTTCCATTTCTTAGTACAAATTCCAAGCTCAAAACAGCAGTACGTACCGGATGCAAGTGGAGACAAAGCTCTCCAACAAGGTGCTCTGGCCCCGAGGGGGAAAAAATGAAGTAAAACGGAGAAGTACGGATAGAAGAAAACCACAAGGGTACAAGCAACCGTCGTCTGTCCGCCTTACATCATCGGGGCTCGATCCAAGTGTTTCCAGATGCTCATTTCGCCCAAAAATGAACCTTGTCTGCAAGTGACTCAGGCGCCACTATGGCGGGCAGCTCACATGCATGCTGTCGTCTCTGGCGGGACTTTGGGACTTTGGAAGAGGGAGCAGGACTTTGAATTGGTATTTGATAGTGTTGCTTGCGAGCACGTGCTTGCCACAAATTGAAGCTTCCCACTGGTCGAGATTGCTATCGTCGTGCATTGTAGCGGGGACCTGACCCCGGGGCCCTGTCCACTCTCGGTTCACCCTGCACTGCATCTCAGGACTGCATGTTCTTGAGGTACCGGCCGACAATGCCTCTCTGATGCCTCCGTCTCTCTAGGGGGTCATTCCTCTGGATGTTGCCGCTTAGCCCAAGCCAGAAAGCACTACAAGCCTGGCCGACAGAACGACGAACGGGGCCGCCAACAAGCCTACATCCGATGCAACAGGATGGCCACAGATGAGGAACGAGGACAAGCCCTGCATCTTGGGAACCTTTTCCCTGCTAGCCCTCCCGGTCCACGTCCCTCTATCCCCCCTTCCAAGCCTGTGTGACCTTTGTCACTTCCTCGGATCCAGACTGGGTCTTGGGGACCCGCTGTCGAGGTGTGCAGCAGAACCGCAGCTAACCCGTTGTTGCTTGCCGCGGATTGTCGTGCTGCTCCGGCGTCCTCGTCCTGAACCACCTTCGGATGCCGTACGGAGACTTGCGTGCCTTTCCATGCAAAACCCGACTAATGTGAGTGTCACTGTGGATTCGACTTGCTTGCAGCAGCTCCATCCACCTATCCACCCATCCACCCGGCCCAGGCAGGCAGGCAGGGCTCCTTCGGCCAGCCAGTCAGTCGTTGCTAACCTGACACCAGCATAACAAAAACGGCACAAGCAGCTACCGGTACAGACATTGCTCCTGCACCAGGGAACGGGCAAGGCAAGACTGGACCGAAACATAGCTTTAACCTCCCCCACCCCAAAAACTCTGGATTCTGCAACAGACGTGTGCCATCCTCCTCCTTCCTTCCCTTTCTTTTCCTCCTTTTTTTGTTTTCCTCCCTCCCCTCCCCTCCCCGCGCCACACTTCCCGGTCTCGCCTCGCCTCGACTCGCCTCCTACAGATCCCACTTGCGTGATCTCTGGAGTCTGGACACACGGCCTGCCGCTTCCTCCCTCGGCCTTTTTGCTTCGAGGAAACACATAACCAACGCGGCCACACGACTGCCCGTCCCTCTCTGCCCGGCTGCCGTTTCTTCCTCTCGCTCCCCCCAAATCCCTTGCCTTTCACGGGTCCGACGTCGGCCATCGCTCCCGCGCTGTTTCGCCCGTCGCGAACCGAACCGACAAAACCGTTGCAAATCCCATTCGTATTACCCCAAACAACTCCAACCCGCCGCTGTCAGAGCTCGACCATTGTCCGCTTTCTTTTCGGCGTTGCTCCCCGCCACCCGGGAGTGGGGTACTAGCAAACATGAGCAACTTTGCTCAATGCAGCTGGCCGATATGGGATATCGATGATCTCACACCGTGCTTCCAGCAAGAGTGAGTCGCCCATCCTGTTGCGCCCAGCCCGCGCCGCATTGCAATCCACCACTTCTCCGCGATGCCGTCAATGCGCCGCGCTCCCTGCCACAGCCCGTCTTCCAACCTGGTCGAACCGGATACACAACCGACTTTGCTTCAACTTCAATTGCTAACCATTGATCTCCCGCAGTTATCTCAAGATCCTTTTCCCTCTAATCGTTATAGGATTCTCCATCCTCCACCTTGGCCTGCAAGCCATCCGAACCGCCGCCAAGAGCCGCAAGCATGGCTATGAGCAAGTTCCCGAAGATCACCACCACGGACACACCGACATCCCTCCCGAGGAGACCGCCGACGAAGATGAAGACGACGAGGCTTTGACCATGAATGGTGGCGGTCGACTGGCCCTGGTCAAGACTACAACCAAGGGTTCTATCGTCCAGGCTGATAGCCCTCCCGCCCAAAACTTGACCATTGTTGTCGAGGAGATCGGAATTGCTGGTCTGATTGCGCTTCATGTTATCGCCTTGGTTACCGGCACCGTCCCTGGTCACCACGGCCTGCTGGTCACCATAGTTGGCCTCGTCACCTGGGTCTACGTTGCCATTCTCGTCACTCTGCGTCTCTTCCTCGGAAACACAAAGTGGCGCGTTCCTCGCATCTGGAACCACACGGCCGTCATCTACCTCTTTCAGTGGCTCTTCACAGTTGCCATCTTCCGCTCCGTTATTATCCACCCAAGCAGCCGCCTTTCGCAAATCCTTACCATTGTCGAGTTCGCCCTTACCACTCTGCTTTTCGGCCTTGCCATCACGACCAGAAAGGGAAACAAGACGGTGCTGTTGGAGTGGGAAGATGGAATCGAGCCGTCGCGCGAGCCTCTCGCCTCTCTCTTTTCCCTCGCTACATTTTCTTGGGTCGATCCCGTCATCTACCGCGGCTACAAGGAGACCCTCGAGATGAAGAGTGTGTGGAACTTGGTTCCCAAGGAAAAGGCTGCTGCCGTTCTCGCCGATTACCGAACTCTGAAGAGAACGACGAGCCTGGCGTGGCATTTGATTAAGTACTTCAAGGGCGAGCTCCTGGTTCAGTTCGCTCTTGCATCCTTTGCTGGTGTATTCACTTTTGCTCCGACGTTGCTGCTCAAGGCTATCCTGGAGTACGTGGAGCATCCCGAAGGCGCTCCTATCAACGTCTTGTGGCTGTACGTGATCCTCTTGCCCGTCCTGGACATCGTCAGGTCCTTCGCCGACAACTACGCCTTGTGGATCGGTCGTAAGATTTGCATTCGCATCCGCGCCATCATCATTGGCGAAATCTACGGTAAGGCACTGAGACGCAAGGCCTCCGCAGGCAAGGACAAGGAACTCGGTCAGAACAAGCCAATTGCAAAGCAGGGCTGGTTCGGCAAGCTCAAGGCAAAGCTGGGCTTCAAGAAGGCCAAGGCGGATGCCGAGGCAGCTGCTAACGGCACCGCCAAGGACCCCGCCAAGGACGATGAGCAGGCCAACTTGGGTACCATCATCAACCTCATGTCCGTTGACAGCTTCAAGATTGCCGAAGTCACTGCCTACCTGCACTTCATCTGCGCATCCGCCCCGACTCAGCTCATCATTGCCATTATCCTCCTCTGGGATGTCATGGGGCTCAGCGCCATTCCGGGATTGGTTGTTATGGCTCTGCTGCTGCCCATCAACTACAGCTTTGCCCGAGGCTTTGCCAACACGTCCAAGAAAATTTTGGGAGCAACCGACAAGCGCATCAACGTGACCAACGAGGTGTTGCAAAACATCCGCATCATCAAGTACTTTGCGTGGGAAGCCAAGTTTGGCCGCATTGTGGATGAGAAGCGTGCCGCTGAGCTGAAGGCTCTCCGATCCCGTTACATCATCTGGTCTTTCGCCGTTGCTGTGTGGAACTCGGTCCCCGTGCTCATCACCTTCTTCTCCTTCTTGATGTACACTCTTGTGGAGCACAAGCCTCTCTACCCGTCCGTGGCCTTCACTGCCATCTCTCTCTTCATGCTCCTTCGTGTTCCTCTCGATCAAATGGGAGACATGTTTGCTCACGTCCAAGAGACCAAGGTTTCGCTGGATCGTGTCGAGGAATTCCTCACTGAGGAGGAGACGGAGAAGTACGAACAGCTCGGAGAGGACAACGTTGACGAGAATGGCAACAAGGTTATCGGCTTCCGCAAGGGCAACTTCATCTGGGGCGGCAAAGACGTCGTTGCCGAAGATGGCTCGATGGCTTTCCGGCTTATGGACATGGATGTCGACTTCCGCATTGGCAAGCTCAACATCATCTCCGGACCTACTGGTTCCGGAAAGACGTCCATGCTGATGGCCCTGCTTGGTGAAATGACACTCGTTGATGGCAAGGTCTATTGTCCTGGCGGCCGAAGCCGTGAGGATGTCCGGGCTGATCCTGAAACTGGCCTTGCTGACACGGTCGCCTACGTTGCCCAGGCCGCATGGCTTGTAAACGCCAACATCAAGGAGAACATCCTCTTTGCTGCGCCGTACGATGAGAAGAGATACCGGGACGTCATCGTCGCTTGTGCCCTGGAACGTGATCTTGAGATTCTCGACAATGGTGATGAGACTTTGGTTGGCGAGAAGGGTATCACTTTGTCTGGTGGCCAGAAGCAGCGCATTTCGCTTGCTCGTGCCGTATACTCCAACTCCCAGCATATCTTCTTGGATGACTGCTTGAGTGCTGTCGACTCTCACACGGCCCAATGGATCTTCAACAACGCCATCAAGGGTCCTTTGATGGCTGGCCGAACCTGCATTCTGGTCACCCACAACCTCCAGCTCTGTGCTCCCTCCTCTCACTACATCGTTACCCTGGAGAATGGCAGGATTGCTGCCCAAGGCCCCTCTGCTGAGCTGATCGCTTCCGGCAAGCTTGGCGAAGAAATCCAGAAGGCTGCTGTGAACTCTGCCACGGTATCCCGAATCCCGTCCCGAGTCCCGTCTAGTGTTGGCGAAGATGGCTCAGAAACTGTTGTCAACCCTGGCGATGAGAGCACTACTGAAGCTCGGACCAAGAAGAACGACAAGAAGAAGGAGCAGAAGGACGCCATGGAGGAAAAGAAGGCTGAGGGCTCCGTCAAGTGGCCTGTCATCCAACTCTACCTTTCCTCCATGGGTGCTTGGTGGTTCTGGGTCGTGGCTCTCACTGTTTTCGGTCTTCAGCAGATGTCTGGCGTTGCTACTAACTTCTGGGTCCGAGAGTGGGCGAACCAGTACGTCGACGAGGAGGTGGAGCGAATCGCTTTCTCGACCTCGTCCCACACCTACAGCCAGCAGTCATTCTCTCCAACCTACCTCGCCTCCATTGCGAACTACGGCAACCGCATCGGCTCGACTTTCTCCACCACTGCTGCCGCTGATGTTGACGTCAAGTACTACCTTACCGTCCTTGCAGCCATTGGCATTGCTGGCTCGGCCGCTGCGTTTATCAGAGATATCTGGGTCTTTTATGGCTCTTTGACTGCCTCTAAGAAGATCCACAACGACCTGATCTCCCGCGTTTCCAGAGCCAAGTTCAAATTCTTCGACGTCACTCCCCTCGGCCAGTTGATGAACCGCTTCAGCAAGGATCTCGAGGCAGTGGACCAAGAAGTCGCTCCGATCGCTATTGGTGTCTTCGGCTGCGCTCTTGGAATCTTGGTGACCGTCATCCTGATCACCTGGGTTACCCCTGGCTTCTTGGTCGCGGGTGTCTTTATCACTGCAGCATACTGGTTCGTCGGTGCCTTTTACCTGCGTGCTTCCAGAGACTTGAAGCGTCTTGAATCCGTCCAGAGGAGCCCTCTGTTCCAACAGTTTGGCGAGACGCTTTCAGGCATGACGACCATTCGAGCTTACGGCGACGAGCGCCGCTTCATCCGGGAAAACCTGTCCAAGATCAACGTCCAGGCTCGCCCTTTCATTTACCTCTGGGCTGCGAACCGTTGGCTTGCCTTCAGAACCGATGTCCTTGGTGACATGGTCTCCTTCTTTGCCGGCGTCTTCATCATCATCAGCCTGGGCACGGGCACCGTCGACCCCGGTTCTGCCGGTATCTCACTCAGCTACGCCATTGGCTTCACCGAAAACGTTTTGTGGCTCATTCGCCTGTACGCCATCAACGAGCAAAACATGAACTCCGTGGAGCGTATCAAGGAATATTTGGACGTTGAGCAGGAGGCCGAGCCGATCGTCGAGAAGAACCGCCCTCCCAAGAACTGGCCTAGCCAGGGTTCGGTCGAGTTCATCAACTACTCCACCCGCTACCGCGCCGACCTCGAACCTGTCCTGCGAAACCTCAGCTTCAAGATTAACCCCAAGGAGAAGGTCGGCATTGTCGGCAGAACAGGCGCTGGCAAGAGTTCTTTGGCTCTAGCCATCTTCCGCGCTCTCGAAGCCGATGAGGGCAAGATTCTCATCGATGACATCGACGTTGGCTTGATTGGACTTCGTGACCTGCGCGAGGCCATCACTATTGTTCCCCAGGACCCTACGCTCTTCATGGGCACCATCCGTTCCAACTTGGACCCCTTCGACGCATACACCGATGAGCAGATTTTCGAGGCTCTTCGCAAGGTGCAGCTCATCGGCCCCAACGAGTCGACTTCCAGGCCAACTACCAGACCGACAACGCCATCGGCCGGCGCGATGCTGCCAGCCACGCCCAACCTCGGACTTATCCAGGGAGACGCTAACCCGAGCCCTGGCTCCTCGATTGCGCCGACCAACAAGAACGTTTTCCTTAACCTCTCATCGACCGTCTCAGAGTCTGGCTCCAACCTATCCCAGGGCCAGCGCCAGCTTCTCTGCCTTGCTCGCGCTCTTCTGAAGCGACCTAACGTGCTTGTCATGGACGAAGCCACCGCATCGATTGACTACGCCACTGACACCAAGATCCAAGAGACCATCCGCGAGCTTACCAGCACCATCATCACAATTGCCCATCGCCTGCAGACCATTGTAGATTACGATAAGGTTCTTGTCCTGGACAAGGGCGCTGTCGTTGAGTATGGTCATCCGTACGAGTTGATCCGCAAAGAAAATGGCAGCTTCCGAAGCATGTGCGATATGAGCGGAGAGTACCCTCTGTTGCTCAAGGCTGCCAAGAAGAAGTGGGATTCTGGAAGACTGGTCGATGTTGACGATGACGAGGAGATCGCCAAGGACGATGGCAAGACCAAGGCTGTCGAGGACGAGGCTAAGAAGGTCACCGAGGAAGCAAAGAAGCAAGCCAACGCAGATGCCAAGAAGGCCGAGGCCGAAGCTGAAGCACGGAAGAGAGCAGAGGAAGATGCCAAGAAGGCCAGACAAGCCGAAGAGGAGGCTAAGAAGGCCGAGGAGGAAGCGAAGAAGAAGACTGAAGAAGACAAAAAGAAAGCTGCCGAGGAGCAGGCAAAGAAGGCTGCTGAGGAGGAGGCGAAAAAGCGAGCCGAAGAAGCGAAGAAGGCCGAGGAAGAGGCCAAGAAGGCGGGCGGCGGATAGAGGCCCTTTGGCCGTGCATAAAAGCCTCCTTATTTCGTGTACTATTGTTGTTTGAAAGCGATCAGTCTGGGTTGGCCTATTTCCCCGAAAGCTTTCGCCAGCCGTTTGCTGTGTTTTAATAAGGGTAGGGTAGTCAGATTCCGTAGATACAGGGGAGAAAAACTTTTCTTTGTCCATTCAGATGATGGTTCAATGGCGGTGATGCTTCGTCGTGGTGAGGTTGTGCATGTTGGACAGCACGACGGCCTTGCCGAAGCTCGTTGTCTACACGATCATGTCATGTCAAACGTTTTCTATTCATGGACATGTGCCGTCAATACCATTCTAAAGGCCAAATAGTACACGCAACAGGGTTAACGACAGATGGGCATCAGCTTTTCCCTTCCCAAGAAGCTTGCAGGTATGATAGCAGAAAGGGCAATGGTGGTTGATTTCTGGGTATTTCCGGCAACCCAGAGCAGAACGGATGCAGCCAAGTGCCGCAGCAAGTCCAATGGGATGCAAAAGAACTTGAAGATACAGAACGCAAAAGGTGCTCCGAACAGCTCTGTTGTCCGGGATGCTAACGAGCTTGCCTCGTGGCGGAATCGAACCGCCGATCTTCTCATTACTAGTGAGACGCTTTACCACTGAGCCAACAAGGCCTTTTTCGATGACTAATTCTTTGAACAAAGAAACCATAGAGGGCGTGGGTTGTGGGGGATTGGAAGCTGGTGGAGATGGATGCTGAGGACGGGGCGGGCTCGAGGTTATGGTTGAGAGTCGGGTTGGCGACGAGAATATCTGATGGGTCGTGATTGGACTCCCGATGAGTAAAAGGCTTGGTACTTTTTTTTGTAACCATTGGTTGAGTGGACAAGTGACGCGGATTAGGCATACTGTCCATTAGGAGGCTTTGAAATTGATAAGGCTCGGAAGTCACATACTGCCCGTTGTTATGCGAGCATGGCTCTCATGAGGTTGCGGACAGTCCAACTGGAGGCTGTCAATGGAGTTATTGCACGATGGTATTAGGTAGACCAGCTGCCAAACTCACCTACTTGATCTAATTGGAAGTCTTGTGCAAAGATATATCAAGTGCTATTTAGTGTAACACAACACAGAATGTAATTCTCATGGTTTCTGGGTTTCCCCTAGCCGTTGCTGCTGGTTCTCTACAATGGTGAGTGAGATCTGTGATTTCAATTCAGTTGTTGATTCTGCGAGTCTCTGAGAATACCTGCTGAGAAATCAGGATAGTCTCTAGTCTCAAAGCAGAACAATGTCCAGGCTTGATTAATGAACTTGGAATCTTTACCTCAATATCGTTCTCTCCCTTTATATATCAGTTGAAACTAGCAGTTGACATGAAGTTGTGCATACCATTCCTTGAGTAAACATATGACGCGTAGTTCCTGCAAAAGAAGACAAAAGAAAAAAAGAAAAAAAAATGTGGTTTCAATACAAAGACTTGACGAGGGCTGTCTGTCTCGGTATCTTGGTTTGTTCAGGCTAGTCAAAACCATCGGGACAATTGCCTGTAACTTTTTGACGCGGTTCCAGGGCCGAGCATTTCGTGTCTTGTTGACAATGTGCCCTCATTATCGTTGTTTTGTACTTCTTGTTCGCTCGGACGTAGGTACGAAACCTGACTCAATAACTCTGAGTACTGTTCTTTTGTTAACCTTGGTACTCTGTTAGTGAGAATCATTAGCCTAGTCTTATCAAGTATCTTATCTTAGGACCTAACGAGCCCGTCGGACAAACTGCAGAAATGTGACACCGCCGGAGACTACAATAAACACCGAAGGACATTGGAATTAGCAGCAGATTGCGTTTGGAACCAACATACTGTCTCTACTTTAATTTCCTCTCCTGTATGGCTGACTACAGAAATAAACTCAGTGCATCTTAATGACGCAGCGCACGTTGATAGCGTGTTTTCCTTTGTTATATCCCTGTTTCCTACGAATTGTAAAAAAGAAAACGAGGTTGGGGTTCCTAGGTCTAGAAATAACGCCAACTTGTGCGGGATCATTAGTTAACTGCTGGAAGTAAGTCAGTCAAAAAGTCACGTTACGAAGTCTCCCTTTAGGTGGTAAACAAAGTTGGTGCATCCCAAGTCGCAACCCAACGCCTGTCGTTGAGGGACGGTATGTCAAGTTTACGAACATTGGACTGTCGTGACACTGTAGGACGGTCCGATGTGGAAGGGGTTTGCCCGACGGAGCGGAATTGGGACACATAGGCACCGGTACTTAACGCTTTCCATTGAGTCCGCGTTTATCACGGCTGTGCTCTGGGGCGCAGATCACCCAGTTTGTCTCCCTGATCCCCCAATCTTAATCATGCTAACTCTAACAGTCTTGGGGTACTAAGCCCTTGAATGGTCTTTCTACCTCTTGCTTTCGGGACTTCTGTTCCCAAAAGGAGGATAGTCGTACAAGCCGGTGAGTTCGGCCCAAGCCCTGTTTCTTGAACCGTCTCATCAGACCAACAGAATCAGGAGAACGGGACAAGAAATCCAATCTCAACATTGTCTGTGTGGGCAGTAAGAAGTAGACAACCTGTATAATCCCAAACTCGGCGCCGTCGAACCAACATAAGCACCGTACGGGCAGAGGTTTTGTTGATTGCCCAGTCTACTTTTAACGAGCTGTAAGGATGGAGGCACATTTAAAGGCAGGACGGGACGGAGTTGAAGTAATGCCGAAGACCATGTTGTACTATGGACGGGGACGGACGGGATGACGGACTTTCTTAAGGTTCCACGGCCCGTTTGAATCATGCATATGGCTGGCTTTTGTCCGCCTAAAGATGTGTACAAGTGGGAATGGAAGTTGTTTGGGGCATGATTTAATCCTTGTTGTTCACGCATGATGATGAGACCTAGGCCGCTTACGAAGAGAACAGACAATTCAATACTGTATATATTCTCAGCTTTGAATCTCATCTTGTTGTGTCATTAGTTGCTTCTTGAAGTAGTGTCTCTGGGTTATGTAGAGTCTCGATCCCGTTGAAAATTGAACACACACACACACACACACACACACACCCGAGATACGCAGATACAAGCCCACACAACATGTCAGACACTGTACCTATTCCGGAACCCCCTGGGTTGCCATTTCTTGGCAACGTCAGTGAAATCAATCCCGATTTTCCCTTGGGTTCTATGCTTTCGCTTGCTGACCAGTATGGTGAGAGATATTGCGGGAACCCTCTCACCGCATCAATGACATGTAGCTAACATTGACGCCTAGGTGAAATCTACCGCCTGCGTTTCCCCGGGCAGTCAGCGGTTTTTGTCTCGACGCGCGCTCTTGTCAACGAGACATGTGACGAGAAGCGGTTCAAGAAGTCAGTGAGACAGGCGTTGGAAGTATGTCTCCCTTTCTGACGAGTTCTTCTCTCTTGAGAAAAGTGCAGTTACTGATATTTGAGTAGAAAATCAGAGATGGTGTACACGATGGTCTTTTCACGGTGAGTCTCAAAGTGTGGAGGAAGAAACGCTCCGTCAATTGAAACCAAGAGATGATAATTAACCGCTATCTCAGGCAAGAATGGGTGAAGAGAACTGGGGTATCGCCCACCGCGTGCTTATGCCCGCCTTTGGACCCCTTTCAATTCGCGGCATGTTCAATGAAATGCACGATATTGCCAGCCAGCAGGCTTTAAAATGGGCGCGCTACGGACCGGAAGCGTATATAACGGTGACCGACGACTTCACACGACTGACCCTTGATACGCTGGCGCTTTGCTCTATGGGCTACCGTTTCAACAGCTACTACTCACCCACACTGCACCCCTTTATTGAGGCCATGGGAGACTTTTTGACAGAGGCCGGCAACTTCCCGCGTCGTCTGCCGTTGCCTGCTGCATTCTTCCGCGGAAAAGATAAGAAATTCGCCAACGACATAAACATCCTCAGAAGCACTGCGAGAGAGGTTCTAGAATCGCGAAAGGCCAACAAGAGCGACCGCCGCGACCTTCTCACTGCCATGTTGGAAGGAGTTGATCCAGTGACAGACAAAAAGATGACGGACGAGAGTATCATGGACAACCTCATCACATTCTTGATCGCTGGACACGAAACGACATCAGGGATGATGTCTTTTGCCTTCTATCAGCTTCTCAAGAACCCTGAGGCATTCCAAAGAGCCCAAAAAGAGGTTGATGAGGTCGTTGGAAAGGGTCAGATTAAGGTCGACCATCTCTCCAACCTCCCCTATATCAATGGGGTCCTTCGCGAAACCCTGCGTTTAACTGCAACAATACCAGTCTTTGCTGTTGAGCCCTTTGAGGATACCATACTTGCAGGAAAATACGCGGTAAAGGCTGGCGAAGTTGTTATTAACCTGCTCGCTAGGTCTCAGCTAGATCCTACAGTGTTTGGTGAGGACGCTAACGATTTCAAGCCGGAGCGTATGATGGATGAGAACTTTAACCGCCTCAATAAGGAGTTTCCTAATTGCTGGAAGCCGTTTGGCAACGGCATAAGAGGCTGTATAGGCCGCGCCTTTGCCTGGCAAGAAGCCCTTCTGGTGATGGTCATACTTCTCCAGAACTTCAATTTTGTGTTGGACCCCAACTACACGCTTGATATCAAGCAGACTCTCACCATCAAGCCCAAAAATATGCGCATGCGCGCTATCCTTAGAGACGGGCTAACACCAACGATTCTTGAGCACCGCCTGGCTGGCCTTGCTCTGCCTGAAAAGAGCAACAAGGCTAATTCTGCCGTTGAATCAAGCGAGGATGGCGTGCCGTTAACGATTCTTTATGGATCCAATAGCGGAACTTGCGAGTCCCTGGCGCAGCGGCTCGCTTCAGCTGCTTCGTTCCATGGCTTCAAGCCAGTTAAGGTCGACTGCCTGGACAGTGCTAAAGGTAATCTGCCTACCAACCAACCAGTCGTTATCATTACTGCTTCCTACGAGGGGCTACCGCCCGACAACGCCGGGCATTTTGTTGCTTGGCTGAAGGGTCAAGATAAGTCTAAGACTCCGCTTAAGGACGTTTCTTACGCCGTTTTTGGCTGCGGCCATAAGGACTGGGTGCAAACTTTTCACCGCGTTCCTATGCTGGTTGATACCACCCTTGGGGAACTTGGTGCAACACGCATTACAGAGATGGGTCTCACAGATGTCTCGTCGGGCGAGGTGTTTACCAAATTTGAGTCGTGGGAAGACGACCTACTCTGGCCTGCGTTGATGAGCAGGTACAAAACTATGACCACTAAGAAGCCGTCAGGCGTCGAGGTAGTTGTCAGCAACCCCAGAATGTCTACTCTCCGCCAGGATCTCAAGCAGGCTTCTGTTGTTCATACTGAGGTCCTCACCAAGGGTGGCGATCCCACCAGCATCAAGAAGCACATTGAGATCAAGATTCCTGAAGGCATGACCTACACCGCAGGGGACTACCTTGCAGTCCTGCCAATTAACCCTACGGAGAATGTTCACCGCGCCATGCGCCGCTTGCACCTAGCCCGCGATGCCCACCTCACGATCAAAACCGAAGGGCCTACGGCTCTCCCAATAGATAGCTCGCTCCCCGCTAATGACATCCTACGCTCGTATGTTGAGCTTTCGCAGCCGGCGACGAAGAGGGTAAGTAGATGTCTGATATACCGCCGGTCTGATTAGATGTCACTAATACCGTCTAGCACCTCCTGTCTATCGCAGAGTATGCCACAGACGAAGAAATCAAGACCGCCCTAGTTCGGCTCGCTGGTGAGGCTTATGCCGATGAGATCAATGATAAGCGCGTCTCTGTTCTTGATTTGCTTGAGCGCTACTCCGCCGTTGACCTACCGGTCGGGGTCTTTCTTTCAATGATGCCGCCGATGCGCGTGAGACAATAGTGAGTTGGACCCTTTAGGTGCATTCTCAACATCGCTGATTCATCAAAGTTCGATTTCCTCGTCACCATTGGCTCAGCCCAACATCGTTACCCTTACTTTTTCCGTACTCAATGAACCCTCCCTCTCAGGTCAAGGCCACTATATCGGCGTTGCGTCATCCTACCTTCACTCTCTAGTACAAGGCGACACCCTCCACGTAGCTATCCGGCCATCCCACGCTGCTTTTAGCCTCCCAACCGATCCCAAAAGAACTCCCATCATCTGTGTTGCTGCCGGCACAGGTGTAGCCCCCTTTCGTGGATTCATCCAGGAGCGCGCTACCATGATCGCTGCAGGCCGTACCCTTGCGCCCGCACTCCTTTTCTATGGCTGTCAGTCGCCCGAGCATGACGACCTACACCGCAGCGAATTCGATGAGTGGGAGGCTCAGCGTGCCGTCTCAGTGCGCCGCGTCTTCAGCCGTGACGCAGGCAAGAGCGAGGGTTGCAAGTATGTGCAAGATCGCCTGTGGAGGGATCGTGAGGAGTTCATCGGCCTGTGGAAGCAAGGGGCCAAAGCCTACGTCTGTGGCTCTCGTGGCGTGGCCGAGTCAATCAAGGAGACAATGATCAAACTCAAGGTTGAGATGGATAGATCTGCTGGAGAGGAGACGGATTCGAACAGTCTCAAGGAATGGTTTGAGGCTCTGAGAAACATTCGTTACGTTACAGATGTTTTCGACTAGATGGTTGCTTGAAGGTTGGAGAGTCGGCTTTTGTGAATATTATAGACTAGAGTTATCGTTCAAATGTTTTCTGTCCGTCCATGCAGAATGCAACATGAACATGCACATTTGCACGTGCTGTAGCGGACACGTTCGCCCTTGGAAGTGCATTTGTGACGCATTCCGGCACGAGTTACCTGAAATGATTGCTTTTTTGGCCGTATGGTTGGATGGTCGTATTGCTGGGAACAGCATACCACGTGCACGCTTACATATATGGCTGCATTTCGTCTATCACGATTACAAAGAGAGTCATACTCAGCTTGTATCAACATAGACACTACTGTTAGACATCCAGCGTAAGAATGCCTAATACCGACTTTCATGTGCGAACACCCGTTTCCCTTCAAAGTTGAAGGTCAACGGTTATGCTGGAAACCGTCATGGGTGTGTTTCCTAGTATCGGTGAAAGCTATTAGTCTTGTGTGATCATAGAAGTGGGCGAGATTTAAGCGGTTCCTGCGCTGGACATGACGAGACTGGCAGGCAAGGCCGCACCCAAACACTCCATCCCGCCATGATCTCATCATGGTTGCTGCCAGGCTGCGCGGTATTTGTCGTTGCCAAAAGACAGACAAAGCCAGGAGAACAACGAGAAGCGAGTGAGGTGGGAGGGAGACGTTACTTAGTTAATTTTGAGCCCCATAAAAGATAACTTTCTTTCGGATTAGATTACCAAAGGTATCAAAGCCACACCAGAACAGCGGAGTTTGTGCACGTTAACGTAATCATACTGCTCCATTTACGCCAAACTCTAATATCGCGGAGCGTGATCCGTAGAGGACCGCCTCATCAAACGGCCGGTGCTTAGCAATCAGTCCGAAGACTCGACACCAGAACCAAAAGTCCTTGTCTTCGCGACTGGCCGTCCACATAGATAATGGGGATTGAACGGACGAAAACTATCAACCAGCTTACAAACTCCGCAACCAAGCTCAAGTCTGCAGAAGGCTACGACGAAAAGCAAAAGCTTGTCAGAGATAGGCTCAATTCCGCCGGACGAAAAGACCGTGAAGGAGGAGGGCAGTATGGCGTTCCCAGACTCAGAAACGCGGAGATTGACAAAATCGTGTCTAAAGACATAGACAGTCTGTGTCCAAATATGATATAAAAGGCCTTGAAAACATCCGCTTCTTAGGTTTGTCTCCATCTCGAATTGCTTGTTCTCAGTCTACATCACCATTCGACCCTTAAGTTCAATTTCAATCGCCAATTATGTCTCGCTACGCAGCAGCCCACGCTAATCCTCAGGGGCCCGGCGATGCCAGGCCAACTGCACTGCAGATCATCGAAGACGAAGGTGTCGAGGGCAAGCTAGGCGACAAGGTTATTGTTGTCACTGGCACCTCGTCCGGGATTGGAATCGAAACAGTTCGGGCTCTCTCGGTCACTGGAGCCAAGCTTTTCTTGACGGCCCGCAACCTCGCTAAAGCGAAGGAAGCCCTCGCCGGCATCTTCGACCCCAACCGCATGGAGCTTGTCGAGATGGATCAAGAGTCGCTGCAAAGTGTCCGTCTCGCAGCCAGTACCATCCTATCTAAAACGGACAAGATTAATATCCTTGTCAACAATGCCGGAATCATGGCCGTCCAAACTCTTCAGTTTACCAAAGACGGTCACGAGCTCCAGTTTGGCACCAACCATTTGTCTCACTTCTTGTTCTTTGAGCTGCTGAAGCCGGCAATGCTGGCGGCAACTACGCCAAACTTTCACAGCCGTGTTGTCGTTGTGTCTTCGACCGCACACCTGAGAAATGGTATCAACGCCTCGGACGACTACAACTTCGAGAAGAGCGAATATGCTCCCTGGGGGGCCTATGCGCAGTCCAAAACCGCCAACATCTACATGGCTAACGAACTGGAGCGGCGATATGGCTCTCAGGGCCTTCACGGGATAAGTCTACACCCCGGAGGGATCATGACCCCTCTCGCAAAGCATCTTCCAGCGGCCGAGTTAGAGAGCGCCAGCGATGGCGGGGAGCTATTCAAGGAATTCAAGAGCCCTGAGCAAGGAGCTGCAACTACTGTCTGGGCGGCGGTTGGGAAGCAATGGGAGGGTAAGGGGGGAAATATCTTGCCGAGTGCGCTGAGGCAGGTCCCTCAAAGGACGAGAGTAACCCTTTCGGCTCGGGGTATGCCAAGCATGCATTCGATCAAGAGAAAGAGGGTCGCCTATGGAGAGACTCTCTCAGGCTTGTGGGGTTGTCTTGAAGTCTTTTAACGAGCCAGTTGTGGTCCAACACCCAGTTCTAGGTGCCTTCCGCCAGAAATAATACTTGCTATGCATATTATAAAGCCCGACATACCATGCGACACGTTGCCAGTTCTGGCATACACAAACACATCATCTTGTGAAAAATGGCGCCTGAATCGCAGAATTTCTCTGGTATCGCGTGGGTGCTTGTAGTATGAGGACCTGGTCAGGGACCACTCTTAATGCTGTCACGGGATAGAACTTAAAGTTGGCTTAGATTTGTTGTTGTATCATGGATAGGTAAGAAGCTATGGATGTTAGGATGCTGCTATATACTGTGGGTGAAGGACGACGCGTGACCACATCATGCCTCAATCCCGGTCACTCCGTACCAGTCTAACAGGAGTGAGGCCTGGTAACGTGACAAATGCCAGAAAATAGATCGTCATCGTAGCGTGTTTCCGGCGCAAGAGGTCTATAGAGTCACCAGTTCAAGCAAGCAACTGAGATGCCGAAGCGAGGTCCGAATCGATCTTGAGTGTAAAGCGCGCGCTCAACGAGGCCTTAATGATGATCTTGTGCGTTTGCCGTCGGCAGTGGTCGAGTTGTCTGCGACTTGATTCCATATCGTGTACAATAACGGACTTAAGAGTTGGAGAATAAAGTAAATAGACGGAATTTGGCCCAAACCGTCGTAAAACATGAGAGGAAATTCTCTGTTATTCAACTTGGTACAGTAAAGTACTGGAAGAGCACCTGGGTCCCGTCCGGGATATGATGCCGCATATAGTCTGTGTATCTTCTTCCATGAAACTTCTTATTCCTACTTCAACCCAAAGAGGAAAGCATCCTTATCATCTTTGAATGGAACCCGCGACTTGAAACAGACTGCCAGGCCTTCAGTACTTTCTGGCTAGATCTGGTCTCTGTATATGGCCACAATAACTGGAGCTGTAAGCGGCCACGCCTTCTGATGGCCACTGCTGGGACGTGTAGGCTGAGTCCTCTTTACCCGATGCAGGCTCGGATGGGTCACACGAGGTTGGCGGGCTGATGACGCCCCAAGTCTAGGCTTGGTGGTTGCCAGTCATGGTAGTCGACGACCAGGAATGACTCTGGCAGGAACGATCTTGGCCGCCAACCGCCTCAGAAGAGACAAGAATTCGATGTCGTTTCGATCCTTTCGCATCCTCTTTTTGCTGTATGGTGATAAGGGGGTGTAGCTCTCTTCGCTACCACTTGGTTCATGAGAGGAAAAGTCGCTGGGTTCGTAGTAGGATTCTTCTTGAGACCTAAAGTCCTGGAAGCTACAAGGCAAAAGATTTGCCTGGTCTGCTCTTGGTTCCTGTGAAACGGGAACCAAATGAGATGGTGTCTGAAACGGGTCATTGTTCCGTGATAGCCTGCGGGGGTGGCATGTTCTTCTCTAATCCCAAATTACAGAGTGAGAATGTTTCCAAGATGGACCTGGTCCGCCACGGGTTTTATGTGTTGCGCCGAGAGGACTTCGGCAGCAAACAGCATATTGATCTTGACGAATGCGAAGAGATACACAGGGTGCCACACGTCAAAGTTATGAGATATGCAGCTTCAACACCAAATTCAAAATCCGGACTCTTAGCCTCCAGACTTTAAGATAGTAAACGGAATCCAGATTAAGAAATTGGATTATAACGCAAATACTTGATTCGAAGGACAGTCTTCGAGGTCTATGAAACACTGGGGGGGGGGGGGGGGGGGGTAGGCGGTACCGGGTTCTGCTCTAGGGCTGTGAAGCAACTAGATTTTTATTTTGAATCCTCGCTTTTGTCAAAGGATTCTGTCTCTAGCACACGCAATCAAAACCAGTTACAATCTTTATTTTGTCATTTTTCTTTAAGAAATCGGGCAATTTACTTCGCAGCACTAAGGTGGTGACCTAACGGCTACTTGCGTTGGAACCGAATCTACCAAGGCGTTTCATTAGGAGAAAACTTAGTTAGACTCTTAAGCCTTGCTTTCGGTTCGCGTCTACTGTAGAAGCAGATGGATGGTATTCGGAAGGCTACAACGTAGTCTCACGGCATGGGAGTTGTCAATATGCATTGACATCCGCCCCAACACACCAGTCGCAATCAACAACCAAAACAATAACTTACCCATTCGTAGAAAATGTCCCTCGTAACGACCGTTGAGAGCCATTTGTGCCTATTTCAGGTTAAGACTTGGAGAAAAACTATGGCATATAATAGAAGTCTAATAGCAGACATGTTGCCTTTCAACCATTTGTGGCTTCAACAGCCACGGTGGTCCGCACGACGAAGGGTGTGACGCGCCCTTTCAGCCTGGCACATCGCGATGAGCACCAAGAAGTTACGTAAAGGAGCCAAAATTGAACTAGCTAGATGAAGTTGCAAGGTTCAGTTCCTCTCTTATGCTGGATCTCAGCCACTGAAGCCATACCGAAGTTCTCAAAAGACGCAAAGAACATTTGAACCTCCAGCTTCTACATCACAAAGACGAAGACTAGAACCTTAAAAGAACCGGGGTATAGTTCCAGAAAACGCAGTTTAACAAACAAAGACAAGCCAAGAGCCAGAAATGACGCTCGAAGCTTCACGAGCTTTCTTTGTTGAACCCTTCTCCCCTTCTCAGCCACAATATGATGGCCACTAACGCGCACAGCCGAGTGGAAGCCCCGAGAGACAGTAGCAGCGGCGGTCACATTCAGTAGATGAACCGTCCCTGGCAGGGCGTCGAGGCAGAATGGTGGCACTTTCTCCTTGAGATGGCCTGGTTTGGTGCGGAGGACCACATTTATGTATACTTGTCTCCAGCTCAGCCCAGCTCAGCCCATCTCCTAGAGACAAGTACTATCACGAAGTCTAAGCGCCACCCGGGCTACGGAACAACGTCTGTCGTTCTGCGAGGTAACCCGCAGAAAAGTTCAAGTAGCCCTCCGTCGAAGCCCGGGCCCGGGCCGGGGAGCGGCATTCTCCCTCGAACGCCGTGGCCGTCGGCCCCCGGCAGAGAATCCCAACCCCCCGGCGTCCCAAGCTGTCGGAGACCCCGACGCAGGCCCCTGGCTCCGATACCCAGGGCAGCCACCTTTCCACGTAGCAGACACGGGCCCAACATGGTGGGAGTTTTACGAGCCAGCAGACGGAGCGACGTCTTCTCCTACGTCTCTCAATGAACGTACGCGCGAGTGTGCGCCTACCTGCAAATATGCCGTGGAAGAAGGAAGCATGACCCGTATAGGCAGAGAAACCATTCTGCGGCGCGGATGCAAAGCTCCGCAAGATGGGGATCCTCACTGACTCGTCGCGAGCAAGCATCTATCTTGAACCACAAGCAGAGTCTTCGTCTTCCTCCCCCCTTCTCCCCCGCCCGCGTAAATTCCATTTCCCTGCATCGCATTGCGCGACGAGTCCAAGACAAAACGCCAGCGACAGCAAATGGCAGAGCAACAAGCGACACAAGCGCGGTCCGGGTGCGAGGGCGAGCGTGGCCCGCGGCTTTCACCTCGCGAAACGGGCTCGTACGGAGGAGGAGTTTCAGAGTCGGAAGATGCCCGGTATCGCAAAACATACTACGTAGATAAAGAAATGCACGCAGGGTTCTAGTCTCTTCTGCCGGCGGTCGTCCACCTGCCCGTATCTGCCAAAACCCTACGATGCATGCGCATGGAAAATGAGAGAGGAAGGGTAGGGGAGGGTGCCGACCGCGAGATAGCAGCTGGAAAGAACGTCATCCGGAGTTGGTCATTCGTGATCCATGGGGCAGATGATATCTTTTTCCTCACGGCTTCTGTCCCGAGATGAGAGGGCACACCCCCCCCGCGCAGCGTACAACACGGTCTTATCACTTTTGTGCGTCTGCCCGGTATCAGCTGGTCCAGCGTCTACCCCTCCTTCGCGTAGAGAGAGGGAGAGAGAAAGAGAGATAGTCTAGCTTGCTTGCTTGGGATATTCACTACATCTCGAACGGGCACAGCACGTGGGGGTGGGGCAATGCTCGTCTTTCGTCTCCTCAGTGAAACCCTTTCTGTTGCTGGCTGCTGCAAGACCATCAAGCCAAGCTCAACCAGCTCGAGCCTCCGACCTGCTCCCTTATCGTTGGTTCACCACGTTAGCAGGCGGGGGAATTGCCACATTGTGAGCTGAGCACAAGCGAGAAATAACATATCAACCGACGTTGACGTCCCAGTCGCGTCCAGTCCAGTCCGGTTCGACGGACCCCTTCCTCCTCTCCGAACGCAACCTGGCTGGCGGGTTTTCCCTCACGGGCTAGACGCTACCATCGAGGTTACAACGCCCAAACGCTCGTCCCGACTCTCTGCACTCTTCGAAATCACTCTTACCATTTCCGGCAGGGGCCTTGAGGCTTTCGAACAAGTGCCATGCCTTTTGCAGTGAGGGGCAACCTTTTCGTTCATCCACAGCGTGAAGTGGGAGGCTAGTCAGCTCGTTGTCTCCGGAGCTAGAATCTCAACCACGATGGCGGCATCCAATGGCATTCCAGGCCGGCGTCAACGCCGTGAAAGGGCCATCACGCAGAATCCCACCCCCTCCATCAAGCCACAACCGTGCAGCTTGGCAAAAGGTTTGGCTCGTTTTTAGCCTCTTCCTCCTTCTGTGCCCCCTAAGCTGCAACCTTGGCTTGTCACGCAGCGCCTCGGTTCAGCGCGCAAGGAGGTAGAACTTGCGCATGTTCATTTTCGGAGGTCCTCTCCTCTGCCTTGGAAACCACACATTCCTGGCCCTTTCTAATAGGACATGATGTCAGAAACCCTGAGCTCTTGTTGATAACTCCTCGTGATATTGCGTGCGGCATCGCATGCGTGCGCCGACCTTGGATCAGACGAAAACCCAAGGACTGAGCGCGCACAACGCTGGGATGACAAGATGGCACCCCGCCAGTGCGTGCATGAGTCGCCCGCGATCGCTGAGCGGCGCGGGTCTCGTATATGGTGAGGCCTGCGTGAATCTTATCGTGTTGCTCACTATGGGAGTAAGTGTGCCCTTGGTCCGCCGGC